TACTATATATATATATATATATATATATATATATATATATATATATATATATATATATATATATATATATATATATATATATATATATATATATATATATATATATATATATATATATGTTTCTACCTTTAGGTCATGTATACTGATCTCTCTATATTTCCACACACATACATATAAAATATATTTATATACTGACACTTGTAACACACATACTGACCTCTATATATTGATATTCATATATATATATATTTATATATATATATATCAGTTTGGTGTGTTGCAGCGTTGGATAACGGCGATATAGCCACTGGCGGCAGTGACGGCATAGGGCGCGTGTTCACAGATAGTTCGGTACGAGAGGGTGCTCCCGAACTTCGGGAACGGTTTGAACGGGAAGTCAAGGCACAGCAAATAGCCAGCCAGACTATGGTCGGCGATTTGGATAAGGACTCTGTCCCTGGGCCTGAGGTGAGACTAGATATGTGTAACTAGCATGTGGTTGTGTATGCCTGTAGATTGCATGTGATTCATTTGTCTGTGTATTACATAGGGTTACCATGTTTGTATAATACGTGCGAATGTCTATACTAATGTACGACATAGGGTTGTTATGTATGTGTTTGTTTGGTTTCGACGGTGGCGTGTGAGTGATTGTGATAAAAACCGATTTTGTGTTCCTGAATTTCGGTTGCTGTGTTCGTCCCCGATCGACGTTGGAGCGTTACCCATTCCCAAACTTTGTTCTTGAACTACGCCGGATACCAGGAACATATTCCTGAAATATTTCTCGTTTGAGCGTTTCCCGATTCAAAACCAGCACTCAAAGTTACGGTGCATGCCAATTAGTTCCAGACTTTAGTGCTATGTATTGAATTTTTAGTTAGGTGTCCCACATTCCTCTTTAAATAGTGCGGTTGCTTTACTAAGCTTAACTTTCGAATTCCTGCCTTTTTGCGCTTGGCTTATACTCAGGCGCTACAGGAAGCTGGCGCGAGAGAGGGTGTGACAAAAATGATTAAACAGTCCAATGGCAAGGTGTGTAGAATTACCTACTGTTTTCTGTGCATTTATATTTATTCCAGCTTATATTCATATGCATATTACATACAGATGAATTATAT